GATGTAAGAGAGAAAGTCTCTTCTTCGTGCCCTGGCTCAGTGTATAAGGGCCTAACCCGACCCATTCCCACCATTACAACCAATAGGAGAATTCAACAAGAAAGTGTAAAATCTGACTCCATGGCATGGCCATGATGGTATGCATATGCATTAAAATTTAATTTTCATTACACATCAAAGGTACACACTACATGCATTGTCCCTGCGCAACATTCACAAGTCTCTAACAATAAGATCACCTTGTAATACCCAACCTTCTAATTATTTTTTCTTAATTTTGTTATCATTAAATTTTATATAAAATAAGAGACATTTTGATATCTTATAATATAAAATAATCTTATAATATAAAATAATGGAGTTTTGATTTATATACTTCAAAAGAATCGTGAAAAAAAATGTAAAACAATATGGTTCCATCACCCTGGGATATCAAAATATGTCTCATTTTATATAGAATTTAATGATAACAAAAGCAGAAAAATAATTAAAGAAAATTTGGTAGAGTAATCACTACCATAGAACTACTAAAACAAGATGCTTCATACTTGATAGTTATTAAAGAAAAGTGACAAATAAAATAGATAGAGAATACTTCACGGTTGTTTCAAAACAATTGTCAAGTAAATATACATATATTTGACAGTTATAAGTAAATAACTGTCAAATATATCACGTTAGAATATTTGACACTTTCTCAAAGTGTAACTGTTACATATAGGCTTGGTATACTCGACGGTTTTCTTTAACAAGTATCAATTATATTATTTTAAAAAGAATTTTTTGAAATATATATATATATATATATATATATTTGATGCTTGTTTGAAAAAACTGTCAAGTATGTTTAACATAAACTTGACGGCTATCTCTTAATAGTCGTCTAATATATAATACTTGATGGTTGTTTCATACATTATCAAAGAAAGAGAAAACTATATTTTGTGAGTTTCTTAATATGGTTGAAGTCCTTGAGGGCTACTCTTCAAACATTAGAAATCTTGCATAAATGAAATATCTAAAGTTGAAGGGGTTAAAGTCTCACAATTTTCATGTTTTAATGGAGGATTTCATTTCGATGGCTATTTGTGCAATTTTACCCCTTAGAGTATAAGGGATAATCAATAAGTTATGTTTATTTTTCAAGTCCAGTTGTAGTAAAGTGATTAACCTACATAAGTTGCTGAGGTTGCAAGCTCAAATTATATTAACATTATGTGAGCTTAAGATGTATTTTTCACTGGCATTCTTTGATGTTATGATCCACCTAACCATTCACTTAGTTAAGAAAATTTAAATGTGTGGGCCTGCTTATTTAAGATGGATGTATTCACTTGAACGTTACATGAAGATTTTGAAAGGCTATGTGAAAAATTAGAGTTTGCATTGTTGAATGATATATTTGTGAAGAGGCTATTGACTTTTATAACGAGTACTTGACATATGGGTAAAACAGGTAGAGAGGGGATAATGGGAAACAAAGTCGTTACCATCTCAAGTATACAGTGGGAGCATGCCTGCCTATATGTGTTGCACAATACTGAAAAGGTTGAAGGGTATGTAGATAAGCATATGACTGAACTTAAGAGGGATAACTTTAATAGATCAGATATTTGATATGCCAGGGAACACAATAAACATTTTACAAGATGGTTTAACCAACACATTCTTCAAATGTTAAATGTTGATTCTAATTCAGTTTCTGAAAAATTGATATGGTTAGTTAATGGTCCAAGCAGGCAAGTCATTTTTTATGCTACATACCTTGTCAATAGGCACACATGAGCACGATAATAGGAGCATGATGCAAAATAGTGACGTAATTCTTATAACTCATTCCATGCATATTTCTAGTACTAAGGATAAAAATCCTATCTATGCAAACATGTCATACTTTAGTGTAATTGAGAATATATGAGATTTAGATTACATATCCTTTCAAGTTTTAGTCTTTAAGTACAAGTAGATTGATCATAAAAATGGCTTGAAATTTGATTATCAATTTGAATTTTTACAAGTGAATTTGAGCAAGGAAGGGTATAAAGATGAGCCTTTTATTTTGGCATAACAAGCTAAACAAGTGTTTTATGTCCCTAATCTGCTAATAAAGGATGGTCTATTCTTTGTTAAACAAAAAAGTAAATGAAGATGAAGCAGTTGAGGATGACCCATTTGAAGGGACATCAAATCAAAGTAATATCACTGCAGATGATGCTCTATACATGAGAAATGATTACAATGAAAATATTTGAATTTCAAAAAGGGGTAAATTATTATAGTATAACAAGAAAATATTTTAAAGAGGGGCAAGTAAAAAAAGTAGTCAAGGAAACAAAAAAGAGCGACTTGAACATGTAAATTTGAATTAATTGTGTGAATTTTGTTTAAATTGATTAATTGTGTGAATTTTGCTTAAGTTGATTAATGTTTGAATTAATTATATGAATTTTGTTTAAGTTGATTAATGCTTGATTTAATTGTGTTTCTTTACAGATGAATGGCTTCCGATAGCAAGTCTATTAATACTTATCACACCTAAAAATGCGATGCAGATGGCGTGCGAGAGCGGAGATTCTAGCCTTTGGAGCAAAAACAGGCGAAATGGGAGTCGCCACTAAAATTTAAGAATAATCTTAGGAAACCGTTTATAGGAAATAAGGATGGTCTGTGAAATCAGAAACAAGTTTAGGAGTTAATTGAGTGTGGGTAAGGTATTAGGCACTCCATAACACTCGCTCGTGAGAATGGTCACCTGAAGTTAATTGTGCTAAATTAATATGGCTTTAAAGTTATTTTAATTATTCCTTTCTTATTCACATATTTGATATAAAAAATGATAATAATTAAATAAGAAATATTTATTTTTTTACAAGGGAAGACTTGACTCAAAATTAAACTTTAAGACCTCTGTATCCTACGATGAGGATCAAAGTTCATGTAATTTAGGATTATAAGTTTGTTGGTGAAAATATTTTTTGAAGAGAACTTAAATAATTCACTATTTTGCAACTAAAACAATTCTTTAAAATTTTGGTATGTGTATTTTAAATTACAAAATGTAATTTAATTTCAATTATCCTCTCAATTTTGAAATTTTGAAATAAGAAAAAGGAAACGAGTTTAAAATTATCTTTTTTATATTTTATTATTTTTTGAAAAATTAACTGTTATACCTGCAGAGCCTCATTAATTTATACAGTAATATAATTACTCTAAATATTTGTGAAAATTCCAAATTCTCACAAAACAAAAAAGTATAACAACTTAATTTATTTTACTCATACTTTTAAGTATTAATAATAATTTCTAAGCACGTATATATATATATATATATATATTTAAAAGGAATCTTAATCATTATATCAGTAAAATTTTATTAATTTATACGGTAATATAATTATTCTAAATATCTGCGAAGATTCAAAATCTTTACACAATAAAGGATTAAATAATATATTTTTTAAAATATATTTTAATGCATAAATATTCATCTTATATTTTTAAATATAGAAATCTTAATCATTATACCTGCGAAGCTTTATTGACTTACACAATAAGATGATTATTCTAAAGGTTCACGAAGATTTAAAAATCTCATGTGACCAAAAGATCTAATGATTATTATTAATTTAATTAATTATTTTTTAATATTTATTATATCATTATTTACAAAATCCATTTAGTTGTTTATTATATGAACTAATAATCGTGATATTTGCAAGAACCTATTATTCCACATAATAAGGTGATTCATCTGAATATTTATGAAGATTCTTCAAATCTCACATGATACCATTTAAATGATTTTAATTGATTTAACTTATATATAAAAAATTGTTAATTTGAATAATGAGCCATTGGAATCCATATTTAATATATAAGTTTTATTCTCATATCTACAAAAATTTATTGATTTACACTTTTTTAAATCATTTTAAATGCCTACAAAGACCCTTAAAATCTCACATAGCAAATAAATAATTAGCAAATATAACCCCTAATTCATCATCAATTTTTTATCTCAATTGTAAGACAAATCCAGGTCATTCTTCAACCCTTGTCATACTAACATTGGAATAGAACACACAATAATAATAGAAAGTGCAATGAAGCTTGTCCTATTATGACGTAGCTGTAGACAAGTAAGGGACCTTTAGATTGATATATAGAGACTAGAAGCATGCAACCACACATATGCTTTTTCATGCTAGAAAAAGTATTTAAAATCTAATTCAACACCTAATCTAACAATCACAACATTTCCTTCCTATTTGCGACAAAAAAAACGTGACAAGAGTATGCCAAAAACTAGTTCAAACTAATTAGGACAGCAAGAAAAATTTGGAGCTTCTTTTACAAAAAGTCAAGAATACGTAATATGTGTGAAAGGCTTGAAGGAAAAAATTGATTCCAATAACTCATGGACTGAATTCTATGGAGAAGAATAAAAAGAACAATCAAACTAATGTCAAGAATAAGCCAAAACCTAAATCAAAGACAATTAATCGATAACAGTCAGTCAACATCACTTGAGTTATATTGAAAATACAATTCAACAATTGACCCAATAACTACAACTTTCTTCAATGTCTAAGAGAAAACCATGGTGGGAAAATGCCTAAAACTAAATTAAATTGATAAAGACAGCTAATGGAACTTTAATCAAGTTCTTCTTAAAAGAGTAAAAGTCCAAAACAACTTCTAATGCATATTAAAATCTTAAGGGAAAATCATTTAGAGCAATTCCACCTATTGCTGTGAACAAAAAGATTTCAACTTAACAAATTTCCATAGTTTGTATGCAACCAATGTTTGATTCCCAAGTGTTTGGAAGCCTAAAAATGATAGAGCTATAAAAAGTGCATGAGATCATGCAGGATTTTATAGTTAACCAACTAGTGACCCTATACTAACTCATGTCAATCATATAAGAACTTAAAAGAAGCGGGAAATATTATTCAAATGAATCGCCTGAATTTATTTTATATAGAAGATGAGTATCACACATGAATCGCCTGAATCTGTGAATCTTTGACCCAATTTGACTTCTCCTTCATCACAAGATGTCGGATTTCCTTATCAATGCCACTTTTCTTCAATGTACGACTCTGGTCTTTCCTTTTCTTGCTAAACTTTGCCATCTAATCCAGAAAGTAGAAGCAAGAAAGGAGTTTTCTAGCGCTTACGTATAAAGCAAGAGGTGTTTGTGTGCCTAACTTTGCCTTTTGACCTTTGAGATGTGACCATGGAGAACCAAGAGGTGAGCCACCTTTGCTCCTTTTCTTTGCGTGTGTGGTTAGTGTCTCCTATCGTGAAAGAAAGGGCATCGTTTATGAAAGAAGGGTATGCATTTAACCTTTTAGTCATACATATTTTTTTTAAATTCATAACTCTTTTTTCAGGTGCTATTTATTATTATTTTTTAATTTTAGATTTTTTATAGATATATATATAAGGGAAAAACCAGATCTGTAAGAATTTAAAAATATTTAATTTTCAAGAAGTTGATTCTCATAATTTTCTAATTGTTGAGATAATTTTAAAGTTGAGAAAATGGGCCGAGCCTGTCAGGCCAGCCCGTTTAAGCCCGCATATGCATATTGTTTTAATTAATTCTCATGATTTTTACTCTTTTTAAACTAAATCTTACTCCACATCACATATCAGCCCATATCTACTGAGGATGGAAGGCAAAAAAAAGGAAAAATAGCAATGAAGAATCACTGATCAAAAATTATATTAGTCAAGGATCACTTATTGTCAAAATTCGAGTGGATACTTATGGATTCGGGTTAGCCTTTATCAATAAGTATTCATTTAGGTTTTAATAACAACTTATTTTAAATTAACAATAGTTCATTATAGCTTGTTTTTCATTCAGGTTTTGACAACAATTGATTCTTAATTAATATAAATTTCATACAGAAATCCTTAGCTGCTATTTTCTAAAAAAAATACAACCTTAAATCTTCTAATTCATCTAGATCCACAATAATGATTCATTCAGTTCAACATTTACTCTTCTTTCTTCAATATGCTTCTCTCCTTTTTGCCGCTACAAGTTGTCCTTGCTCTTTAGTAAGTTATCACATCGCCATCCCTGTTCCACTCCTTGTCATCGTAACTCACAAGTCATCTTTACTCTTATTTTTGCTCACTCTTTAGTCGTCCTTATTTCTCACTCTGATAATGCTCCCTCCTAAGAACTAAATCTCAATAATGCTTGACTCGTTGTCATCGATCTTCTAAATCCTCCTATCACTTATCATGCTCGTGCATTCGTGACTCATGAGCTAAGTTCTATCTGATGCACATATTGTGCTCATGCTCTTTGTTTTCCTTGGTCTCCTAGTCCTATATCTTAGTCCTTCAAGGCTCAATCTCGTCTAATTTCAATTGGGTGTTTGTTGGATTAGCCAATCCATTACTTATTATATTGCTATTATTTTATTTATGTTTTTAGTTCATTTAAATGTTATTTGATTTGTTTTTTTGTACCTTTATTGATTGGGTATTATATTGGAATGAAGTAATTTTTTGTTTGATTAAAAAATTTTAAAAATAATAAAAATAATTAAAAGGACCTAAAGCCCGAAGGGCCAGCCCTGAGCCCGCTATGTCAAGGGCCGGGCTTCATATGTCAAGGTCTTAAAGGGAACTCGGGCTTAAAAGGGCTGGCCCTTTTAGGCCCGAGCCTGGGCTGGCCCTTTTTCTCAGCTCTAGATAATTTGGTGAAGAGATTTTAAAATATTTGAGTAATATTTTCTCCTCACTTTTTAAAATTGATTTTTGAGAGAGGTTAAATTTATTTATCTCTTTTATTTTATTTTATTTTATTTTGAAAAATGTAACATCCTGATTTTTATATAATAAAGAAATTGTGGAATTTAGGTTTTGAGAAAAAAATGATAATAATAGAAATTTATATTATTTGAGGTTATTTAGAAATAATATTATGGTTAGGTATTTAATTATGAATTTAAAAATTTAAATTTAAAACCACATAAGCAATATTTAGTTAAGATATAATACATAAATAATTTTTTTTATGTGTGTGTTTAAAAAAAAGAGAGAAGGTAGAAGGAACAAAAAAAGGGGGGGTGAAAGGTTGTTGTTTCTAAGTCCCACATTGGTTAGATGAGGGAAGAGAAGAGGTGCCTTCATGTATAAAAAGGAGGGGGTGTGTGCATTAGGAAGCATGAGAGGCTAAGATGCAATTTAGAGGAAATTGTAACTTATGGCTCAAAGGTTTGAATAATTAAATTCAGACCTATAGTTTTTTTAATATAATTTTGGGACCCACAATTCTATTTTTATATTATTTTTCTCTCTTCCTCTCACATTGCTCGGCGTTTTCTTGCAAGGGAGGATTATTTTCTTTTTCTTCAGATATGTTCTAACTTTCCTATTTAGATTAGCATTTGAAAATTTATTTAATTACAAAATTAATTTTATAGTTATTTTCTAAATAATATTAGCTTTCTAGTGATATGATTATTTTGTAGGATAGAGTAAATATTTTGATTATGATTTTTCTATAGAATAGTTAATCTGATGATATGATGGATTAAAAATATAGGTTAAAACTCTTAGGGATATAATAAATATTATAAAATATTTTCTTGAGGTTGAAACTCATGTTTAAGAATTTTTGAGTTAAAATCTAGATCTATATGGTTGAATTTATGTGGAATCTGAGATGTAGGAATAAACCTCTAATTATTAAATATTTATTTAAGTATGAATAGGTATTTTTGAGATTATAGAAAGGTGATTTGAGGCTTCAGGATAATTATGAAATTTTTAATTTATTTTTGGACGAATTTTTAGAATATAAAAGGATGAAATTATGATACTAGAAGTAATTTGAGGCTTAAAAATAGTTTATTAGGGTATGAGAATTTTAGAAAAGAATTTGGGAAGTTAAATGAGGCATAAATCTTAAATTAGTGTTAATATGGATTATAGATCTAAGACTTTCTAACTCTTTAAATTAGAGTTATGTATTTTAATATAAAATTAATATATAGTATTATGAAATAGCTATGTAGATTGTGTTGACAAAGATAGTGGTGAAAGAGGAGTTGTGAAGGAGAACTTGTTATTCAAGACACAAGGTAACCATTATTAATGTGTTGTGATGGGTGTGTTTGTGAATGGTTATGTGTTGTTTTATTATTTGGAAAAATTATGAATTAATGAAAATAAATACTGTATATATATACTTGTTTGAAATTATTGCCAAGTGGGTTAAAAATTTATTTTTATTTATCATGATGAGATATTATTATTCGGATATATTTCTGTTTGGATAGAATGATACATGACTTGTCAGGGTATTTTAATATATGGTGTTAATGAGAATTTTTGTTCGGTTAATTATTACCACGTGGTAAGCCCTCATTGGACCCAATGAGTGGCGTGTCATTTGGTCCAACTCACCTTTGGTCGGGTGATTTGGCATCCAAGCATGGCGAAAGGAGGATATAAGGTGCAGTCAGACAAATTAAATACTTGTTCGGTTTGTTTGAAAGTATTGTTCGGTTAAATGTTTTGTGTGCCCACTTAGCAATCGCATGATTAGTTACATCCGCATGCATCATTACATATTAATTTTTGGTTACTGGGACTTTTAAGTCTCATTCCCCGTAATTAATATTTTTACAGGAGCGAGTCCGGCCGAGAAAGCACCAGAGGTGTAATTATGGTGTATGAGACACCATCTTTTACGTTGTCTCTTATTTTGGATTATACAATATATCTTGTGCCAACTTAGGACATATCTTCTTTGTGAAGCATGTAAACTCTAATCCTTTTTATTAAAAATATTTATATGATCAAGAGGATTATGTCTGTCCCTCTTGATTTATGCTCTGATTTGAATATCATGCCATGAGGATCATGTCTATCCCTCATGGTTCTAATTGTTTTTGGGATATTTTAAGACCTGTGGTATGTCTTGAATGTATCATGGTAAAAACAAAAAAATTTTCTACCATGATAATGGTTTTTAATAATTTACGAAAAATTAGTTTGTAAATTTGAGGGTGTTACAAAAAATAATCCTATAAAAGAATTAAATTTGGTTTTTGTATTTTTATATTTTTTTTGGTTTTTAATGAACTAAAAGAAATAAAATTCTAACCAATAAAAGATTATCTAGGTTAAAATAAAATTAAACCCTATTAATTAATTTTTTTTCATTTTATCTATATTATTAATTTTTCATTTTTTAGTTAAATTTTAATATTTTTTATGTTTAAAAATATATGGATAAAATATGGTGTTCACAATACTACTCCATTAACTCCAGCTACAAATTCAACTAAAGTTTCAAGTACATAGAAAAAGCAATAGCAGAAGTATAATAACATCTAGCAAGGCTTAACGATAATAGAAGAGATAACAAAAACAAGAGCTACAGGAAAAAAATTGATGTGCAATGGAACAAGAAAGGGCAATCAATTAAATCATCAAAATTCATAAGTTATATTGGGATAATGGCAAAGACTACCGTGCCTATCACAATAAAATCATGATGCAAAGTAGATGAGGCCACGAAGGCTCTTGTTTGGAACACTATGGCAATAAGTTACATTTTACTAATTATATTTTAGTATAAACTATTTTTAAAATTGATGCATTTAATATGTTGTTTATTTTAGTTTGCAATCAGGATTTAATATTGACGAAAGTAGGAAAGATTTTGTCCTACAAAAGGCTAGAAGGGCACTATCATCTTTTAGATATTCCATTACACAAAAATATTTGAAAGATCCTGACGTTGAATTTGTAGCTTGAGTTCTTCCCCTATTATAGCCTTTGGTAAAATAAGAGAATTGGGATTCTTTTGTTGCCTCACAACCTAAGAAGGAATTCAAGGTATTAGTATTTCTTAAATTTCAAGTTTGGTGTTATTTATTGATTGTATGTACTAACAAAAATTTTTGGTATTAACTTGTTAAGGAATTGAGTACTCAGAATAAAGAGAGAGTAGCGAAGAACAAATATCCTTATAAAGCAGAGAGGTTGGGATATGCAGGCATTGAATAGAAACAAGTAGAAGAGGAGGGATCAGATATTACCATACCCCGCCATAAGCTATAGGCATTAGCACGCACTAATAAAGAAGGAATTATTGATAACTCCTGCGTAAAAGAGGTTACTAAAAAAATTGTAAGTATTATACTTATCTATTACTTAATAATTGATTATGAACATCTAAACTAATCATATTTACTCTGCGCAAGATTTCATCTCTGAGGAAGTCTCACAGAGCAAGCTTCCTGAGCATGAGGATCTCTTGGTCATGGCATTAGGAATTGTTGACTAACTTGGTCATGTCAGGGGTATTGGCTTCAGTGTCACAAAGAAGCAATATTTTGGCAAGAGAAATAAGCAAACATCAACTTCTTTATCTAAGGTCCAAGAGCTGAGAGAAGAGCAAACCATTATGAAGAAGTGACTACTAGCCCAGGCAGCACTAATTGACACGTTACTGAAGGGGCAAGTCATTAGGAGGATTTTGGGTGAGATTAGCCCTAGTTAGAAAGATAGCTGTACAATCCCTTCAGAAAAACTTCCTAAGGTAATATGTTTTATCTCATGAATTTGTCTAATTATTTTTATTTTAGAAATTGATTGTTATTGTTTCTTTAGGACGAGAATGATTGCAACTGTTTTGTAGATACTCCTAAATGTAGAGTGGTTGCAACACAGTGTGCATACAACATTTCTGGGGACATGATCCATAATCATCACCTCCCACCCGACTGTGTCAAAGTTTCTCTACTTGTTGCAATCAACCCCAACTTCCTATTGATAAGGCACAGATGGTGTGAGTGCAGTAGGGAGCTTCGTTGTATGGCCTAGCCACCTTGTAACGATGGTAACACCAAAGCCGATAAAGGACCCATTGCCTCCAAAGAAAACTGTATGATTTAAATAGTTATTTATACTTTTATAATATAATTATAAATATCTAACTTTTTTATCATGCAGCTGAGAAGGAAGAGTAAGCTAAAAGGTAAGTCGGGCCATACCAAAGAGTTAACCATATTTTCACAATATCCAACAGCACTGGTGCCAGTTGTAGAATATAAATATCGTGCCTCTCTTGAGACATATGTGATGGCTACAAGGATGGCTCGTTAAGTAGCGATTGGGGATGTCATTAGTTTTAATGATAGGCTATATGGCTGACTGGGCTCATTTGAAGTTGTTTGAGATAAAATTTTAAATAAAATCCTTAAGCACGAAATGGCCAGCACTAGTCTGATGATCTCCTACATAAGGTATTTCTTTGATAGTGCTCAATTAATTACTCAAATTTTGTGTGTGTGTGTGTGCACGTGCGTGTATTAACTTGGTTATTTTTTTCACCTAAGCTACATTTGTACCTCATTTGTAGTTCCTGGCAGCCTCAAGTTGAGATTCAAGTTGATTAATCCCCAACGATGTCTCTGCCTGTAATGAAATTACAAAGAAAGCTCTTAAAAATCAAATAAGGCAGCTTTCAAATCAATTCAAAGATAGGAGAGTAGACAATAATACTTTATTTCTCACTCCTTAATATTGCCAAGGGTGAGCCACTTTCTAGCTACTTTTGGTACAAGTAAATAGTTTTTATATTTACTTATTTTATAATACTTGTTATTTTTTATTAGGAGGCATTGGATGCTTATTATGGTTAACCCTATAGCTCTAAAAATTTGATATCTCGATCCTTTTAACAAAGAACTAAGCAAAAGGCTAGATATAGTGGAACTTTTTAATAAGTAAGTTGAATTTTTATCAATTGTTATTTTAATATCCATATATATATATATAATATTTCTAACATTTATTCTTTACTTCCTTCTTAAAGTTGTGGTATTGTATCATACTGTAACCAACAAGACCATGTCCCCCAGCTCAAGGGCATTGGACTCTTATGAGAAATGAGTAACAGTTCAAGTAAACCTAGTGGGCTGAGTTTTTAATCAACAAACCATAGCCTTTTAAGTATAATTTCATTAATATGTGATTTTTTTTATAGTGTCCGCTCTAGCTAGATCAGAGCAATGACTATGGCTATTACTTGATAAGATTGTTAAAGAAAATTATCGCCTATGCCCCTACCACATTACCTAACAAGGTATATATTAAATTTAGTGATACTTAAATTATAAATTTTATCAACTTTTGTTAGATAGTTATTAACTTGAATTTGTTGTAACTCTTTGCATACAGTAATTCGAGAATACCTACTATGTTCGGTATGCAACTGCACATATAGAGGAAACTCTTGAAGAGGTAGTTTAAGCCATATTAACATGTGGATAGTAGCAATAGTTAGGCCCAATCAATTTTGGTATACACATCCATTTTTTTGGCTAATTTTATGTTGGAGACCAATTAGTTTTGAAATTTTAGCTTGCAAATTAAATAAAACTGTAGATTTTTTATGGCTTTGAGTTTAGGGTATAGGTAGATGTAGGAAATTAAAGATGTTTGGATAGTAACTTTAATATAAATAATGACTCATTTATTTTTTATTACTAGCTGGCTAGTATATATATTTAATTGCTTTGTATTTGCAGGAAGCCTGCTTGAAAAGTAGCCATCAACTTAAAAAAAAAATCATAAATACTTAACAGTAACTTCGAAACAAACGTCAAGTTTAAGTTTAATTGACGGTTATTTAAAAATAACCATCAAGTATTTTGGCAACATAATGAACAGAATTTGCCAAAAATATTTGACAGTTCCTTCTTTATAATCATCAAATATTGTGAAATACTTGACAATTATTTTGTAATAATCATCTAGTATAGTCCTACAACAAGACCTGAAATGCAAATGTTTAAATAATTACTTAACAGTTATCTTGAAATAACCATCAAGTAATGTCTAAAATATTTGACGGTTTTTAACCGTCAAATAAATACATGGCGCCCCATTACTTGATAGTTAAAAACTATTAAATATTGTTTAAAATAATTGTCAAGTAAGGGGATATTTTGAGGTAGTGAATTGACTTCCTATAAGTAAAATTTTTACTTGGAAAATTGCTTGGAATAGGTTACCAACTTCATCTTTTTTAAAGAAAATGAATCTCAAGATCGCTGAGATTTGCCCTTTCTGTTGTGATGGAACTGAGTCTCTGTTCCACATCTTCAATGTCCTTTAGCTAGAGCTTGTTGGGTTGATAGCATCCTTGCTCGTATAATTGATTCTTGTGCCAATTGGGATTTAAACCAATGGCTCGTTTGTTGGTTAACTTCTTATTCTAAACGAGTCTTCCAATCTTAAGTGTATGAATGTGTGGTTTTACCATTCTTTATTCTCAATATACTATGGTCTTTTTGCAATCAAATCTGGTTTGTAGGGAAACATTTTAGTCCGAAAGAAGCTATCTCGCAAGCTACATCCAGAACACAATATATATATATATATATATATATATATATATTTGATAGCCTCACAGAGCATTTCCATGCAAGTTCATTCCAGAAAGTGCTGCTACAATCTTCACCTCCTGTGATTTTGTGGTCGGATTTGTATGCAAGATTCTATGCATTTTGGTTGATGGAATTTACGAACGTTTGACGATATAATAATTTTTGCTCCATTCAAAAATGTGTCAAATGGAAGACTAGTCCTGTTTATAAATGGGAATATCGTTCGAAAGGACTTATAGGAAAATTGCAGCTCTAATTACTTGTTTTACAGCAAACTCTTCTATTTTTAGATTCTCAAACTTCTTCATATGATGTTTATTTGGTTCCGTTAAGAATTTGTTTGCTCAAGTTTTCTTACAAACGTTTTATCTAGGGTTATACTTTGACACCATGGCATTTGCAGACTTTGCAAAATGACTTTGGCGTCTTGCTTTCTCCTTTTTGTACTATTGTATTTGTTTCTTAATAATAATTGACTATTTTAACCCCAAAAAAAAAACACAAATCTCTTTAATAAGAAAGATGACCTTGTAATATCTAACCTTCTACTTATTTTTTCTTATTTTTTGTCATCGAATTCTATATAAAATACAAGACACGTTAATATATTATAATCATGAAATAGTGCAGTTTTGATTTATATCGTTAAAAAATTGTAAAAAATGCAAAACAATATCTTTCCATCACCATGAGATATCAAAATATTTCTGATTTTATATAAAATCTAATAATGTCAAAAGCCAAAAAACAAAGAACAATTAAAAGGATAGAACATTATTTTTTTTTGGGTCAAATAAAAGGATAGAATTAGAACATTAAAAGTACTATAAAAGTGAAGCATCAAGCATTTAAGATCCCATGCTCGACAAAAGATACATACACCATACGTACGTAAAGTTTGTCCGTAAAGCTCCCCCCCCCCCCCCCCCAAAAAAAAAAAAACCTGTGTTGGGTTGGCTACTTGTAAGGAGGATCGGGCACTCGGCCAGACTCAATACGCTTGAGGTCTTCCACGAGGAGATCATAGTGCTTCTTCACTTCCTCTGCGGTTTTATTGCCTCCGATAGCCTGAGCTACGTTGTACCATCGGTCTGGTGTTTCCTTGTCGTAAACCGCCAGAGCCATTTCGAATGCTTTGTTCTCCTTGTCACTCCATGAACGAGTCGAAGACATTATTGCTATACTTGAGAGAGGAAGATCAGGTTCGTCAGAGAGTCAAATTAAGTACTTTATGATGCTTAAGATGGCCCTGGCTGCTCATTTATAAGCTGCTGCTGGCTGGTGGAGGAGACCACCAGTGGGAAAAAGAATATGTATCACAGAAAGGTATTACAATCGATAGGGACTTGTATAGTCTTTAACAATTATTGCATTATTGTAATTAGGGTTTAATTGAGCTTGTAGTGCTGCAAATGGACATGAGGAATCTCGCCAAAATGAAGCAGAATCAATAAATATAGTGATTTGTTTCTTTAGGAACCACAGATTAGGGCTGGACCAGGAAGGAGCTAGAGAATGACCAGATAAATAAGAATCAGGATCTTGATCGTCCTTTCATTCATCCAAGAGTGATCGTATATATATGAGGATAATATATAGACACCTGGAGATTTTTGTTTTTACCTTATTGTAATTATTGAAACCCAAGTCTTGTCAGCTCATAAATTAGCTTTAGAGTCTTTAATTTGTCCTACCTTACCTTGTGAATCCAATGCTGGACGTGACATGACAGTTTCAGAAGGCATACACACAATGCACACGGATATAAAAATCAGCAAAAATTAACCATTTGATTTTTATAAATTTAACTTAATTATAATTCATCCTTTTAATATTGACTCTTACAATTTAATCCCTACAACATCAACCATTTAAAATATTAATTTCTATATTACAAAAAATAAAATGGGAAAATTATTCTTTATAAAAATTAAAAATGTTTGGTAACTTAAAATATTAATCATAAATTTTAATATAATTATAATATTTATAATTTTATTTTTTATAATATAGGATATTTTAAATGGTTAAAACTATAAGAATTGAGTTGCAAGAGTCAAAATTTAAAGATTGAGTTATAACTAAATTAAAACTATAAAAATTGAGTTACAACGAGTCAAAGTTTAAGATTGAGTTTTAATTGAGTCAAAATTATAAGAATTAAATGATTAATTTTTTCATTAAACTTTCTTAATTTTTCCATTAAACTTTCTTAGTTATGAAGAATGTATTATTGATTAAATGATCTTATTTGTATTTTGTGGTTAGTCAGCAAAATAAAATTAAGCTCTTGAACTTGGCCATTGGCTAGTGTTTAATAAACTGTGTAAGAAAAAGATATATATACTTATTTAAACATATATGAGGACACTGTAAAAAACAAATAATTAGACATAATCGGATTTCCCAAGTACTTTAATTAACTACCTCCATTTCAAAATATCTATCATCTAAAGTTATTCTCACAATTAAAAAAACTATTAAACAGTCTAAATTATGTCAAATTTTATGTTATTTGATTAAAATAGCTTTATTGAAGGAAGAGTACAGTTAACATGGTTAACATGGTTTAACTTCCATTTATATGTATATATATATATATAAAGACAAAAGTACACATTTCCTTCTTCATATAAGGTTTCATTTTTGTCTTTAATTTTATAAAATGTCTTTTCAGGTTTCTAATCTTAACATTGTTAAAATTGCTTCATTAACAAAAAAATAATCCTGACATTAAACTTTTAGACGTAGGTAATTCATATACTAAGTTTAATTTTTTGAAATAACAATAATTGGTGTAAAAAATATCATCATTTGAGGTTAACAATATTAGGATTAAAAATTCAAAAATATATTTTATAAAATTAAATGGCCAAACTAAAATCTTATCAAAAAATTTGAGGATTAAAGGTCCACATGGTTTAACGGACCCATGACGTTTTTTTTTTTTTTGGGATAAACACTTATGACTATTGTTAATTATTGACTTATTATTGAAGGGCAATGTTGGAGGAAGTCAAAATGTTGGCAAGCTGTGAATGGTGGGCTGGTTTTGGCAAAGGGGCCCACTCCAAATTGATTGGAATAAACAAAATTATATACCATAAAACTGTTGTCTTTTGCAAAAGAAAGTGACAAGAAGTTTATTCTACATGAATTATTTACACAATTATAACTAAAAAATAACAATATACTTCCTCTATTTAAAAATATAAAATATTTTTAATCAAATCTCATCTCTCAATAAAATAGTTATTCACTTTTAAACTAACTCTATTTTTCTATATTTATCCCTATTAAATACCTTATAATAAATATAAGACCACTATCAATAAGAGTACTTTTAAAAAAAGACAATAATTACATCTCAAAAATTTAAAAATAATTTATTTTTTAACATTTAACTCTTTGAAAAATGTCTTATATTTTTAAATAAAAAAATAATTATTTTTGGGAATTTATGGAAATGTCGATAAAAATGACAGTTATTGGAAAAGTAGCCTAATATTGTCTGTGTTGTTAAAGTTTTTCAAAAGCATTAAAAGTCGGTGGTGTGATACCCTGGCAGTACATATAGCAACTTGAAAACTAAAAATATTTTGAGCTTTGTGGGAATATGAATTTGAAAATATCTTGCAAATAGACTTCAGTATTGGGAAAATTTTGGATATTCTGATCTGTGAAATTTTGCAGCTAGGTGCAGCGAATAAAGTTTGTAGGTGGAGAATAATTAGGTCTTAATAATTTCTTTTGGGGTCCAATTTACAGGGATCATCAACTAGTATTTACATGTAAAAATGATTAATTTTCTTATTTGGTTTGTAGTTTTCTCTTTAGTTCTAAAACTCCCCTCCCCCTCACATACACTTAACTATATTAAATTAAAAGAATAAATAAGCATTAATACTTGTAAAAGAATTAGATATGGAAGAATTTTAACCCTGTGTGTGAACATTTTTTTTCTATTTATAAATCACTTTTAATAAATTTGCATAAATTAAGAAAGTTTGTTAAAATTACTTTGTTATCTTAAAATTCTCCAATCTTCCTGCAAATGTCCTGTTGTGTTTAGATTAATAGGGATATGAATTTAAATTTGGACTAAATCATCCATTTGAATGCACAAAAGTTTATAGATTTTAATTTTTAAATTTAAATTCATTTCTTATTATTTATTATTTTAAATTTTCTAATCATTTAAAATTTCAATCATTTCAAATCTCTCATTCTATTCACACTTTCATTGTTAATGTATATAATACTATTGCATTTTCTCTTATGCCTCGTTCTTGTCTCTCACCAATTTAAAAATAAAAGTAGGCTCGTCACTCTTAACTTTTCTTTAAAAAATTTTAAACTACCTTAAAAATGTTTGAATGTGAAGTTTTAAATCTAAAAATTTAAATCCACATCCACCAATCTAAACATTACCTTAATGTAAATTCTTGGTCATCTCTATTAATCCCTCTATTTGTACCATAATTACTCATTAATATTCATATATCAAGGCATTATTAGGAAAAAAACATATATATTAATTACTTTATAGATTTTACAAAATATATTATAAAAAGAAATATAATAAGCTTCTAGTAGGCCACTTTATATAAATAGAAATGGAGGTAGTACGTATCCTAAATCCAGTTGATGCAAAAAGGAATCTTTATTGGGCTATTTTAAACTAAGTAAATGGAAAATAATATTCTATCACTAAATAAGAAGATGGATCAATGCCTGGCTGGCAAATATACATGCACCGTCCACTGAAGAAATTTGGAGGTGAATCATGTAATGTGGTCAAGTTGGAATATCAAATCCGTGTGGTCCAAACCAGTACTAAAGAGGCTGACCCGTACGTAAACTTTTGGGTCGACGAAAATAACATTAAGAAGGAATGAATGAATAGACGTCTTTACATACAAATCTTCATGAGATATGTTCTATGGAATCCTTATCATCATCATCACTGTACAATAATGTACCCACTCGTCCCACCTTATTGGAAATATCTTTTTTCTCATTCATATATTCTTTTCACCATTTTCTGATGTCGACTCATGAATTATTTATATAAAGGTAGATTAATTGGATTCATTATATATTTTGAAACGGTGTTAAAATCTCCTAGTTTAATTTCAACTTACAGAGAATAGAATAATATCGGAGTAGGTTTTGTTAGATAATTTCGACTTGTCCCTTTATATATCATTTTTCTTGAACAACATCCTTTTTTTTTTTACCATCTTGTTAAACTATTTAAGTGTTTAGGATTGAACTCTTGAAACTCTTAATTAGTCAACTGGTTATTAGCTTTGATGATGACAAAATATTTCAAATCCTTCCAATATTAAAAAAAAAAACGGGGGGAAAAGGAAGAAGAAGAAGCTCATGCTTGTGATCTTTGAAAATATTTCAAGAGTTTAGACAAGTGTTGAAAGTATTTGAGCTAAATATGAAACGTCGCTCAAATATATTACAAGGCTAGTTGGGCTGAGTAATTGAAGCATCAGGCCCAATATAAATGAAAGGGGCCAACCTCGAGGCTCAATAAAGGCCATAATAAGTAAACATACCGAAATCCCGACAATTGTGAATATTAGACCGTTGGCACGAAGACACGATCTTAAGTAATGTCGAAATCTATGCCCAAATATCTCGATGAAATGGGTTGATTACCAAAATATAGAGCATGGAATAAAGACCGTGTTGTGAGTTTCGCGAGATTCCTGATTCTTCAACAAAACGTACTGGGTTTCAAAGAAAAGGCTACCGCTACTCTGACACTATAAATAGAAGAAGAAAATACAAAAAAGACTAGTCAACACTCAAACAAAGACTCACAATTTTACATCTATTAGCTCTTTTTAGTTTTCAGTTTTAAGTCTGTAATCTTTTCACATTTCAATAATAATCAAACACTTGTTCTATCAATGTCTTATATCTTTTTACATCTGAGTAAATTGTGGTAAAGGAGCTCAGAACCTTTTTGTTATCAATTGAGACTTAGTGTCTCTAGCACACCTGATATTTGTTGTTTACCACGAACAGAAAGAATATTATTTATTAACCAGACATAATCCGAGCGTTAAGTGTTTGCTATCTACGTAACTAGCTAAGGACTATTTGAGCGAATTTGTTATTATTGACTTCTATAGTTTTGGGTGAACTTTGTA